CTAGGCAGGTAGCTGCCATTATGGTAATAGGCAGATCAATAGTGTTTGTTGCTATGGTGAGTCTGATGAAAATGAATCCATTTTTACTTTTGAAGCAAGGGATTCCTTCCTGATTAGTGAGATACTAGATAGCTGAAGTGAGGCAAAGAGGGTGGTAATGCAGACTGCAGTTTACCAAGATTCAGCAGCAGTCTTCAGGCTAAAATTATTAGTAAGACAAGCCATTTCTAACTGTTCTTGCAAGAAAAGATTTGCCACAGGCACTGATGATGTGGTTGATATGTCTTGTTGAGTAGTGATGAGACTATCATGAGAAGGAGAGATGTGCTCCTAAGTTCTCGTGTGGAAATCAGAAAATCTAGAACTGTAGAAGATCTGATAGCTTATTAAGAAGAGCATCATGAAGTCATAAAGTTTTGTGTGAAAATTGGATTGACTTCTGGTTTGTTTCTTCTTTTACAAGATGTTTCTGAACCCAGCATCCTCAATTATATTAATATCCATTTGTTCTCTTTGCCATGTAGCTCCTTAGTTTATTAGTTCTTCTCTTTCCCTGGTGTTCCTCTGCCTTCACTGCCATCACGAGGCCATTTTCATTCTGTAGGTGACTATGATTTCTCCTTGCCTTCTCTCATCTCATCATTCCTCACTATGAAGTCATAGCCTCTCTCTCTGCCTATTCTTGTTTGAATTTGTCTTTCCTGAGTATATGTTGAGAATTTTATACTTGTGTCTCACCAGCACCTGCACAATGATGCTAATGTTTGTGTCTCTGTCATGGAAATTTCTTAATTGGCAAGTCTTAGGAGGCTTGTTTTTAAACACTGAAGTGAATAGAACCCAGCAGTCAGCCTAGATAAGCAAGAAGAAAGCTGTGATCAGACTACTTCAAGTAGAAAAAACGGGTGAACTAGAATTATGAATCTGTTTGTGGAACTAAAGAGGTAAATACAAAAGCAGTGCATTTGAAATTGTTCTACCTCAAAACTAGAGAAGAACATTATTACCAATTAAGAAAGAATATCATGTTGTGTCAACAATTGAAAATCGTGTTTGCAGCATTCAAGTATAAAATTGAAAAAGTTTTCATCTTGCATAATTTAGGAGCTTAGTGAATCCCATGATCCTGTTTCTCAGTTTCTTAGCTGGATCCGTCCTGAAATATGATCAAAAGACATATGACTGAAGTTTGCAAATCATGGAAGCAACAGATGAGCTGAATATTGAACTGTTAACCAAATACTGCAATGCAAGAACTAGAGAACACTTGAAGCACTTCTCACCTATTCATTAATCTTCATTGCAGTAGGTACTTTCAGGGCTTCTTGCGTGATATCCCTCTAGGTGTCTGGGAACCAGCAGTTGGTGCAGCCTCATGGGCTTAAGGAGAAGAGCAGCAGGCTGTACCAGTGCAGGGATGCACAAGCATTTATGATTAGGTACAGCAGATTGTGCCATGCTCCTTGCTCTAGGGCCAATGCCAGCCTCACTGGGCCAATTCTTATACTCCTATTAATGTTCTGTGGCATAAAATGTTTCTCCCTCTGTTCAAATTTTCATCTAATCCCAGCTTGATCAAACGAGATCTGCAGCAGCTAAGTCACATTAGAAAAAATTAGGCCATCAATCCATTATTAAGCTGGAAAGCGTTTTATATTCCGTGTCTGCCCTCAGGGTGTATCTGAACATTCCACAGCTGATGTGTACTGAGTATGAGGGGCTGGGGTTTTAGGTGCTAAAAGCTGTGTACAGATACTGGGGGAGTTGTGGGTTTGGAGTTTTTTTAAGCATTTGGTTTCCATCTTTGCTGAAAGCTAGAGCCAGGGCCTAGGGGTTTGTGACTGCAATCTTTATGGTTCTCTTGGTCAAGGTGCTTTTGAAAAAAATGTCCTGGTCTCTTTCACACATGTACCTGCTGCATCAAAGAAGCATCACCAGTTCTGTTCCTTTACTTATGTTCCAGCAAAGATCCGTGCAAACTCTTAGAAAATGTTACGTTACCTGTTTTGCTCTTGATAATATATTCCATGCAGCACTCTCTAAAAATTAAAAATCTATCCAAAATTTTTACTCTCTTTTTTAACCCCTAATACTTGCCAAAATGACCACCTTTTGTGTATACTTATTTATTTCCTTTGTTGGTCTTCTCTTTTTCAAAGAAAATAGATCTTTATCCTGAGATCCTTTGTGTAGGTTGTTGCACAGAATCACAGAACAGCTGATGTTGGAACACATCTCTGGCTATCATCTAGTTCAACCCCTTATTCAAAGCAGGGACAACTGCAGCAGGTTGCTCAGGACCTTGTTAATCAGTTTTTTAATGTTTCCAAACAACGTGTTTCAATGTTCAATAACCCTTTCAGAGTTCTTAGCACCAAATGATTAGCACTTTCAGATATGTTCAGTAAAAGAAGCAAGACAGTGAAACATCCAAAATCATTAGCAGCTTGTCAGGATGCTGGCCTTAGTAACTAACTGTCTTTGGTGACTGATCAAGGCATTAGTGGTCTCTTTGCAAAACAGTGACTTAGTACTCGAATGAAAAATTAGTCCAGTTCTGACTTGGATGTTGTTGTTCCGAGTGTTGAGGGAGAAGAAAAGTATGGGGAGGATTGAGTTTTCTTAGTTCAGATCACTTACTGCATTATTGAAATGCCACATCTGGATACTTGTCTTCTCACCTGATTGTTGTCTCAAAGTGTCACATTGGATTTGGTGCAAGAAAGAGTTAATTTAAGGCAACTTGTGCAAGCTGATGCAGGTAGTGTGAGTCAAAGACTTTTTCCGGTGGCATTTGCTTTGATCCTAAGCCACAGAGTAACTGGCATGCCAGGATTTGAAAAGAGACTTCTCTGTTTTGTGCATACTCAACTTCCAAAGGCAGTGAGTGTCTGGAGTAGAAAACCAATTTGAATATGAAATAAAGAGTTGTCCAGAAGAAGTAAAGAGTAATGACTATACCCATGGCCAAAAAAGGGTGGAGGGCACAAGATGAGATGCATAGCCTCTGTCCTTTCATATTACTGCTGCTGACTCCCTGCCCTAAGAGGACATGCATGTTGGCACTCTTTAAACTGATGACTTGGGGTTTTTTTATTTGTTTTCAGTTGCTAGATTGACATTACAGACCATACTCTTGCACTGCTGTACAGCCTTTATAAATTGCTTTAAGATGTTTTAATGTGATAAGATGATATAAAAATTGAAGTCATTATTACTGACTGTATCAGCAGGGGAACTGGACAGCTGGGATTGATCTGTAAGAGACTGATTTCCATATTTTCTTATTACATTAAGCCATGGAATTCCTCTTGTTTATGATTTCAGAGAAAGTTTTCCTAATCAAAATATCATCCTCCGTAGCATGTAGTGCTTGGAAGATGTGGAAGGGCAGAAAATGTATGAACCTTGTTGGTTTTTATCTGATTAAGAAGATTTTGTTAATAGTAATATCCCAGTGGTTTACCTTGCATTGTATCAAGATCCCTCTAACCACAGAACCACTTGGTGAAGGGTATGTTGCTTGGTTTAGGACAAATACTACGAACCCCTCTAAATTCTTGGCATTTGTCTTAATTTTTTTAAATTAAAATAATAATAAAAATTCTGTACTCACTGCTGGTTTGTAAGGAAAGAGAATAAGGGCCTTATCTTGCTATGTTGGGTAACACTTTATGATGAACTAAACTATACCATTTATCCAAAAGCCACAGTAATAGTAGCACAGTAATGTGACACAAAGCTGTGTCACAAAGGGAGTAACTTGCTCTTTGCTGTCTTCTGGTTTTGGAATAAAGCCTGAGAAATCAAAGAAGGGTTTTTCAATAATTAAAAAGCTCTTACAGTCAGAACTAGAGGTGAAGAGTTTAGTCTGTGGACCAAATGATATGCAATTTTCCAGGGTGCTATCAATGCTGCTCCAGTGTGATTTGCCAGTGTTGGCCAGAGCACCTTTGGATACCACAAGTATATACTGAGAGCCAAGGCTCAGTAGAGGGCTGCAAGGCACTCAACTCAGTAGTGAAGATCAAAGAAAGTTTTGGTTTTCTTCCTAAGGTAATGCTCTGCTTGATGCCTTGCTTCTCTGCTTGGTCCAAGTACTTCCGTAGTGTTGGTTCAGCCAAGTGTGCTGCCTTCCTCCTGTTTACTTATAGCCTATCGATGCCCAAAAGATGGAGTAAGAGTTCCACTGGCAGATTCTGGGGAGTGTGGATTGTTAGATTTTTTTTTTAACATCTATAATCTGCATGGGACCATGGTTGAACTTTACCCTAATGGTAAAGATAAGTCACAAACTGTGAGTGATTGCCTGTAAAGACCATAGGCTCTGTATAGTTGGACAAATGTCTTGTTACTACTGTTGGCCAAACATCTTTTTCAGGAATTATTTAAATATAACTGATAGTGTGATAGGAAATTTCTGGCTCTTTCTATTTTGCTGTGATACGTTACTGCTGAGAGGGATTTGGAAGGCTGGACTATGAAGTTCAGGGTCCTCCTGAGAAATGGTGCTATTACACTATAGACATATCTGAATCGCAACGATACTCATCAGCAGTATATCTTAAATTGATTAAATTGGTAAAATTCACTTTCATTGGTGGTTTCTGGACAGTAATGTAGATGCTTGAAAATAGGTGAGGGCCTGTTTAGTCACCTGGACCAATTGTTGACTTTTAGGGAATATCCTACCTGGTGGAGACCAGCTGGCAGTTAAGAACAGTGATTGGTTGTCTAAAATGGCACAGGATTTTTTTTTTTTTTACATGCCTTAATGTCTCACAAAGCACCGAAACAATACAGAAAATCAAAAGAAAAGTAAGAGCTGGAACATAAATCTCTGCCAGTAAGGAAAAACCTAACTGATGAAACAAGAACCTCTCGGTCTGAGGTATTTCAGGGCTGGGAATACTTTCTTATAGCAAATGATCCTGTCAGAGGGAGAATATTCCATTAATGGAAATCCTTGGGTGATTTTTCTTTTTGCCTTTTCCATCCAGGCCGTGCTTTGCTGAGACTTACTGACAAAAAGCTTGAACGAATGGGCATTGCCCAGGAAAGCCTGCGACAGCACATTCTGCAGCAAGTCCTTCAGCTGAAGGTGAGAGAAGAAGTCCGAAACCTCCAGCTGCTTACACAAGGTATGAAAAAATTTTTTTATATGGACAGTTGTTGAGATCAGGTAGAAGTTTGTCTGAGGGTATAAAAGGTGACTTGATGTTCTCCCACAAGAAATGTTTCGTGAAAATGTCTCATAGATTCCACATGCTTTTTAAGGTGGGAACAAAAGGTAAAATAATGCATAAATAAACAGAGATATTCAGCTGCCTGTTCTGCATGATCAATAGGCTCCATCTACAGCTTGGTGGTAGTCTTACTTAACTGTCTGCTTACTAAGATTAAAATAATTACATATAAAGGGCACGCAAGTAGTGAACATGCTGTCTTTATAGACATTTTACATTTTGCATTAATTGTTTACTTTCAGTGTTAGATAAAAGAGTAATCTCTGTAACCTGTTTTATGGTAAGAGCTGTCAGTAGAAAATTACCTGTTAGACTCAGTTTTTTGCAGATGGCTGATTCCTTTTTCATGTTGAAATAATTTTATTGACTTGAATAGAGTTCCTTCTCATTTATGCTGCTAAGAAAACGCAAAACTGGGCTCAATATGAAGGTCTTGATTAGCAGACATGGAAGGAGTAACAAAAGAGCTCATACATATTTTCCAAATGAGGTTAAGATGGTTTATAATGACTTGTGTTATTAGCTGTCTATTAAGGCTTTTTAACAGCTGTGATAACAAGGAAGAAAAGCAATCATTGTGGTAATAGCATAAAGCAACATTTAGACATCCTCTACTCTGTATCTGCTTTCTCAGTGTTAAATGTTGTCTGGTACTCCAAAGATAGCATAAACCACAATTTCTGTGGTGTTTTGGTGTAGTGCCTGTTATATGTCACATCATATGAAAGAAATAGAGTTCTTCAGTACATGCAGTGTTATTTTTAACAAAATGTCCTTCACACATGATATTATATTCCTGATTAAGACTTGCTTATTGTGTTTGGGGAAAAACTCTCTTGATTAGTTGTATAAGCTGTATTTTATCTGAAAGAGCTGATGCCTCAACTAAATTGTTCCTTTAGACTTGGTGTTGTGTGGATTTTGAGGAAGAGCTTTACAGCTCCTTAAGTTTGCCATGACCTGTGAATATGACCTCACCTCATCTTATGTCACATCAAACTCAGTGCACATGCTGAAACATCAGTGTCTTCCCCAGAAGTTTAGAACCATTCCATTTCCCTTTATCCTTTCATCCATTATTCTTTTCTTTGGTGTTGGTTGGTTTCTCTCTTCCCTTACATCTGGAGCTGTACTTGAGAGTTTGCCAGATTGCAAAGTACTGGACACCAACCATCACTGTTTTAAACCTGCTAACAGAAGTTGGGATTTTATTGCTATGGGATAATGAAAACCCACTAGCTATAAATTTTGGTCAGCTGACCACCACAGTGCAGGTAGGTTCCTCCACAAACCTGTAATTTGGCATTGAGGACTATGTTGTTTCCAGGCTTCTCTATTATTGTTTCTCTCTGGTTCCCCTGTGTACACATCAACTGCTGTCTGAGTCATGATCAGTCAGACAGTGGCCACTGCCACTTCAGGGAGTTCAGGGCAGCATCCTTTGAGATTTTATCCTTGCCCATGCAGTTGGGATACACATTTTGGTAAGAGGGTGAATAAACACGTTGGATGATGAAGTACATAGCAATGTATGGATGTTTAAATGTCATCTCTCTCTGCCAACTGGAGAGAGCATTATTCTTTATTCTGATCATATAAAGGCATGCCATCATATGCTTTATGAAAGGCAGCACAAGATTATAGAAAGTTGGTAGTCTGCAGCTCCTGGCCAGCTCCACTCCAGCCTTCATAAATAGAGCTGAAGTTACGGGGCAGCACAGCAGTCCATACAACATTCTCCAGTGCAGCAGAGCTGTGTTAATCGTGCAATCCCAGAGCAGGAGGACAGTGAGCGGTATGATGGAAGCAATATTTCGATCCCTTACCACCTCATTTACACCAAGTTATGTCTGTTGAAAGTGCTTGTTTGCAAGTACTAAGGATAAGATATATTTTCTCAACTACAGTGCAGACTGTAAAGTTGTGTATATGTCAGTTGTTCTCCAAAACTGGTTCTGTCTCCTTGCCTGGTTTCTTCAAACTGCGTCCAGTTCTATTCTTTTTATGGATTATATGTTCCTAATCCAGGTTGTTGCTGGAGTAACTTTCTGTAAGCGCTTTTCTGCTTTGGACAACATTTTTTGTCCAAAAAGTAACACATTTGTATGCCAGCCTTTTCTGCCTTTTGGAAATTCTACTTGCAAAATGCAGGTCACAGTGTAGCTATTGCTACACTGCGCTTAGCTGTCCTCAAAAATGTCCTGCAAAAAGAGGGGGAAAAAAGCCCTCAGTCTCTCACTACACAGCTCAGGAGATTGTTAAGTGAAAGAAACCATTAAAACCCTGTTTCTGAATTAATTTAGCACACAAGCTGGGTTGCAAGCAATAAGATCCTAATTCAGAGCCCATTGATGCCAGCAGAAAGGCTTGCACTGACTTTAGTTTATAACCCATTTGAAGCTGGAGTGAGCAGGGAAAGTTTAAAAAAAGCATTATGTAATACTTATCAGATATTTTAAGTGTTTTGTGTTCTGTGGTCTGCAGAGAAAGTTAACCTCATTTTAAAAACTCGGTAGAGAACTAGTATTCTTTTCTACTCCTGTTTCAGAAAATGACTTAAAACTGTTTCTTTCTTCTTCATTCAGGATACACTATCCAGTCTGTGCTGGGGATCTTAAAGCCAGAATAGTACATGATTGTGTAATTGGAAGACTTGTCTTGAGTTTTAGGGAGACTTTTCATTGGAGTTAGAACTGCCTGATTGAGGCTATTATCAGCAGAAATGCTATTCCATCTTTCAGTAGGATAGAAGGGCACAGGCCCAACTACTGATCTGTGCTTTTTTTCCCAGACTCAGTGATGCTGAGGAACTAATTTGACAAAATATCTTCCAGTGTCTGTTGGGGAGAGCTGCTCACTGTTGGAAAGACCATTATTGTACCGTTAACACTGTAAGCCTGAGTTGAAAGATCATTTTTTTGAAAATGCCTTACATAACTACACAAAGAAGAAGTTATTTTGAGGTTTTTCAATGTGAGTCCTGCTTTTGGCTAGCATAGAAGAGACTGTCCTCAAAGTGGCAGAACAGTGCTATGTGTGATTCTTAGCATAGACAGCAGTCTTCTAACAGGGCTGAGTTTAAGAAGCATTTTTGGATTTGGATTAAATGATACCTGCATTAAAGATGATGTTGGGCCCCCTCCTAAGCTCCTCTGTGAGTCTCATGTAGGGCAAAGTGCTACTTAAATATACTGCAGGCCATAGAATGCCAAATTTTCTTTAAAAAAAATATAATTATTATCCTAGCAAAATGTGTTAGAATAAGGCTTTATGCTTCATTGAAAGTCACTGCAGCTTTTGATATTATTTCTTCAATAAGTTTTCTGCTCATCCTGCACTGGTTCTCAGCTACTGAAAAATATATGTGCCCAATGATAGCCACAGTAAGACCCATTTTTTCATTCCTTCAGTTTCCAGAATAGTCCCATTCAAAACTTGTTACAGTACCCTAGAACTTTCTTCTTCCAGGAATGGAACTAGAGGGTCTTCAGAAATGCATCTCATCTTCTGAGGAAAAATGATGTGAGAACCATGTATTCTAGTGATGGATTACTCACGTTTCAGAGGAACCTTGTAACAGAAACATTGTCATCAGGGTCCATGTGGTGAGTAAAATAGGACCACAATCCCTCCTAGCTGAAACATGCTATAATGATTTTTATAGCTTTATCATCCTCTTAATACTAAAGGCAGGCTTGATCAAAATTTGAGCTGTTTGGCACTGAATCGTCCCAGGGTGTCAGAAATATGATGGTAGTTCCTGTTCATCTTATCTCCTTCTTCTTTTTGAATGTTAAAGGCAGGAGGAACCTGAGTATTGCCATTCCAACTTGCATCACTGAGTGTGAGGAGTTTTGTTGTCATTTTCCATAATCAAAGCCTTGAAGTACTAGACTCACTCCCATCTTCTGAACTGCCACATAGGAAGACCTTGCATGGCAGGGTGGCTCACAGCATGAGGGATTGGGAGTTACACACCTACCTGAAAAGGGACTTGAGTGGTGTTATGGTTTAGGTGACCCTGGTACTGTATTGGAAACCTATAAGAGGAGCTAGAGAGAGAGAAGGTCTGTAGGACCCTGAAAGACCCAGGAGAGTTGGAACAGGGAGGGGTCAGTATTCCCCCCAGTTCCTGCCATAGTCTATAAAAGCCAGGGTAATTGGAAGCTCAGCTCCATTTTCTTCCTGCACCCTCTTCCTTGAGGCTGTTTCTGCTCAGAGATTCTTCAGTTCACCACGTGCTCCCAGAATACAACTCCATCGGGTGCTGTGAGGGACCATGGACCCCTCTCCTGAAGCGGCCTTGCAGGAAGGGACTCTGACCCACCTGTTCTGTGATCAGCGAGATCAGTTTTGTATATATTAGTATATAAGTTCATATAAATGTTCTTTCCCCCACGTGTTAAACCCTTTTGCTGTGTTATAGTAGTTTTGTTCCAGTTTCAGTTTCCAACCCTTAAGTCCCTCTTCCGTATTCCACTTCTATCTTCCCTTGCGAGGGTGGAGGGGGGGGTAATAGGGAGCACTTCTGGTTTGTGGTTCACCCTTACTATTTAAGCCAGGACAGAATAATTAAATGTTGTAGTTTGGGCCTAACACAACAACAAAGAACTAGTCACGTGGCTGCTCACTCAACTGCCTCCCCCCCCCCCCAAGCACTGGTATAGGAAGGACAGAAGCCAACTGGAAGCTCATGGGTTGAGACAAAGGATGAGGAGGGTTCTTCACTGATTAAAGTCCCAGGCAAAACAAACTCAACTTGGGGAAAAATAATAAGTTAATTTACCACTAATCAAATGCGGACAACACAAAGAGCAGGGCTTGCAGATGTAACCCCACCCCTCCCTTCTTCCCCGACCCAAATTACTTTGTTCCCAATTCCTTGTTGGTTCCTG